TAAGATTCGAATTGTAAACGAATACGAATATGAATATTCGATAATTATACAAATATGAATAATATTATCAAGTATTCGATTCGATTCGATTCGTTTACAACCCTATCCGCGTCTGACCTGGACTCCAGTCGAGCACCAACGACACTAGTAGAAAACTGTCTTACAGTGACACTTTGTTAGTGACACTTTTCAATTAAGTGTCACCATTCGATGACATATCTTCAATGTAACAGATAAGTGTCAGTAACGCATGACACAATTATATTTTCAATTACAGTAACGCATGTCATTTGCTAACATCTTCCCGCCATTGGCATTTTCCCACCCCAAAAAAGAATTTCCTTTACCATTTTTCTCATTACCAAAGACAACCCTTAGTTTCTTTTCTGATTAGAAAATCAGTCTTACACCCTTACGCCTCTAAAATAAACCCTAGCAATCTACTGATCTTCGAACGCCTCCTTCCAAGAACCCTAACAACATCACACGACCTCCTCGATCTCCAGATGATACCTTTCGCTGGCGCTTGAGATCTGATCTCTACCGTAGGTTCCAAACAGCAAGGCTTTCCTTTCATCGCCCGTAAGTAATCCGACCCCCTTTCAGCTTTCTTCGTTCCTGCTTGTAAGCTTAGAAACCTATTCAGACAGAAATGTTGTGCTCGATCGAGCGGCCTAGAGTAATACAAAGTATTACTTAAGGTAGTCTAGTAAAAGAAGAAGAACAAAAAAAATGTGAATGTTCTCTCGTGGGATCGACCTGCGACCCATTTCTTTTTTCCGTACACTTCAATGGCGTCCTTCAATTTGGTTTATTAAGCTTGAATCTTGTTAATTTTTGGTGTTTGTGGTTGAAGTCTCCGCCTATAACCAGATTCCATGCTTGGTTTTAAGTTTGGATGGTAGATTCGACTCCGGAAATTAGAAACTAATCGTCGAAGTAGTGTTCATGCTTTGTTGAGGTCTGTAGAAATCTGGAAGTTTTCTTCTGAAAATTGGGACTGATGTGGGGCTCCTCATCTCTTGACGAGCCTAGTGAACCTCGATTTCAATTGTTTCTAACCGCAGGTCTGAAACATAGGTTTGGGTGCGAAGAAAAGAGAAACGGGTACTATTATCGTCGTTTCTGAGTTCGAGGCTGCTACCTGCTATGGCTTGTTCATATATGATTTGAGTTTTGCAGAAGATTAGTCGTTAGAAAGACGGCTGAGTCTGTGAAGCCATCTTCCATACAAACCAGGTCTATGTTTTTTGTCCTTGCTGACACGGATGAAGAGTTCCAGCTCTTAACGGTTTCTATTCATGAAGATTAAAATCAAACCTGGGGCGGTTTCTATTGATGCAAAAGCCACTGCCAATGCAGGGGATGCTGCTACTAAGCTATCTGGGCAGCTTGATTTGGTCAATCCTGCTACTAAGCAACCTGGAATTGCTAAAGAAGCTACTGTTGGTGCAATTCCTGGGCCAAATGGGAAAGAAACAGATCCTGATGCTATAGCTTCCAAAGATCCTGGGACTTGTTACAATAAGGCTATGGTGGCTGTTGATAAAGCATGGAATGCACTATTTTAAGATAACCGTGATCCAACTCATGGGCTTAAATTGAGATATGTACCACCTAAGAGTTAAACTTTAGACTTGGTTGATCGTATCTTACCCTCCATGATTGATTGTGTTTTAGGAATGATAGGCTAGTTAAAAGGCATTTGATTAGGGAGCCTCTCCATTTAATAAAAATGCTTCACACAAAGGTACTACTGTTTTTTATTCATTTTTAGTCTATGTGATGAATACGAGTAATTGAATACCATTGTGCTGATTTTTTATGTGGGCAGAATTCTTTAGTACTGTAAATGTTAATTGAACACTATTGTGTTGATTGTTTATGTGTGCAGAGTTCTTTAGTACTGGTAAATGTTTTCCTTCACCTAATTTAAAGTTACTAACTCATATATGCTATTTGGTGGTATTTTCTTGGTGTTTTTCTTCACTGTAGATGGTCGACTGTAATGACAAAGGTATTCTATCAATTTACTTTTTATTATACTTCTATTGTTTTACCGATTAGTGTACTCAAAGTTTAATAGAAAACATTTTAAATGGTCAAACATATACACTCATCTGTATATATCAAAGTCATATAAAGACTTTGCCTCATTATAGTAATTGTAATGTGGAAATGTGCTTCTCAGGTATTTTGGAAGCAATGATTTGAGTGGAGAGCTACCTACAAACATCACAAATCAAAAACTTATTGCCTTGTGTGTACTTCTCAAAGTAATAAATAATACATTTACATTCATTAGTTTGTGCTGTTTTTTGTGTGACTCAATCAAAACCAACATTTGAATGAAATTTTTTAACTAAAGTTACATCTCATTTTGTTTTTCTCATGCTTTGACATGTTCTCAGAGATATTTCATCACTGTGAGTATCTTCTCCTACAAGCCTCAACTTTTAAGAATGAATGGCCACAACCTGCTAAATAGGTTTAACTATTTGCATACATGTGTTTTCATTCAAAATATACTGTACCTCAGATATTATTGGTTTATTGATGAAAACTTGATGTTTATAGAGATCAAACCTAGAACTGAGTTGGTATATCCTAGCCTTCTTTTTCAGTATCTCCTAACATTCTTTTTAGGATTCCTAGTCCGAAGATGCTTGCTGGTATTTACTCGATCTCGGTCTCAACACTTACATAATTTTTAACTCTTAGTTTTTACAACCATAAAAACTAATTATATGTTTTTGACGCTATAGAAAAGGGCAGAAGCATTAAAAGGTATCACGAGGCAGCAGTAATAGAATTTGATATATTTCAGCTGCTTGGAAGACATGATAGTGGATTGAATTTTGGTAAGTGTATTTTAATGTCTTCTACTTCGGTGTATATTAGTTTCACTTCTACTCCTATCTTGTATATTGTTTCATTTTTGCAGGATCCTCACTAGGTAATACTTTTGAGATGTTTCGGTACTCTTAGATTTGCCTTTGATTTACCATTAACTGGTATTGTCTCTGCCCAGGACATTTTATGACTAGTTTGAGACATGCATGATTCCTTCAAACTTTAACAACTTTGTTCTCCTATTTATGTAATATGGTATAAACTTAAACTCAAATATAAACTTTGGATCATTTTGACACAACTTTTTTAACATTCACGTGAGAAAACATGATCATAATATGTTTATTTAGCCCAAGTTTGGCAGATCCAATACTTGAGCAATTTTATTTCCTTCCCATTACCCATGACCTTCTTTACTCTTAAACTTATATTTCCTTCTAATTAACTATTACCTCCGTTATTTTGTTTTGACAACCACTATTTTAGCAATATTGTGAAGGATGACTTCATAAGCTAATAATGAAGGAAAAACTAGAGATAGAAAATGTAGATTCTTTGATAAGCTGAGACAATAATCATGAAGTTGTTCTATTGTGTGCTCATTTGTAAGGACATTTTATCTGGCTTATCATCTTGATCACTCAGATTTTAAACCACTCACTCATTTGATTGCTTGGGTGAGACGTGTTAATAATATATTTGGTTGTAATGAAGAGCAAAAGACACTTGCATTCACCTTTTAGATATTCACTGTGAATTTAATTGCTTTTTAAAATATGATTTCAGGTAACTCTTTTCATTCTTCTATTTCAGCTTCACTAAACAAAACCAGTCATATTTCAATCACAGTCCTTACGGTTTAGACATATCACGGACGCGAGAGTATATTTTTTAGCTCCCCTACTTAGTACACACACCATCTTATATATTCTTTCTCTATTTATCTGTGAATTGCTTAGTCTTTAAACAGGTCGCTAAAGATGTTATTCATTTTCTTCCAAGTAAGTCTTTTTACTAATTGGGATTTGAATATGTAGAAATAATTTAATTAAAACAGTCCAAGGCTTTCAAAAAATCATGGAAACTCGGCAGTGTAGCCTCCATGTTGAAATTGTGGGATTATATGGATGAAATTGTAGCTTTGGGCTTCTGCTACTCGCCCTTTCAAAAAGTCTGCTGCTACTTTATTTGTGTAGTTGTGTTATGTTTTTGTAAATTTTATTTATTTTCTTGTTTAGAATTTTGGGAGCAGCTTGTTGAGTTTTGTAATTCCGTTTTTTGCTTAGTTGTTTTACTTTGTAGTTTAGAGTTGAAATTTTACTTATTTATAGGAAAGATGTACTAAGTTGAACTAGTATATGTTTACTGTAATGTCTACTTTGTAGGTGAAGTATGATAGAAGCAAGTGAGGTTTCAAATGATGAAGTTGGTAGCATAAGAACTGGTTTCATTCTGTGCAAGTCTCCAAAAGAAGATATGTGAAGGCCCTAGAAAGTGTGGTGTAAAAGTTAGACTTGTTAGCGTTTTGTTCTTGTATATTAGTTATTGTTTCGGGATGTTCCCCATGAATTATGTAGTATGTACATTCACATTTATGTGAGAAATTGAGATATAAATAAAAATATTTGAATTTTGATTATTTATTAGTATTAAATTATATCTCTCTCTAACAAACACATATATATTGAAATCAATGTTTAGTTATGATACTAATGTATCATATATCTTTATGATACGAGAGTGTCAAAAAAAGTTATGATATTATAACGTCATAATTTTATGTGATATTTTATTGTCATAATTTTGTGACACTAATCTGTTTACACATCAGTGACACTAAATTTTGTGTCACTTGCCCCACTTTTCTGTGACACTTTCAGTGTGTCATTAAATCGTTTAGTGACACTAATTTAGTGTCACTATAAGCCATTTTTTTACTAGTGCGAGCAACGGATAACAAAGCCGATCTTCAACAAAGTTGAAATCGGAAAAAGGCTCTGGCGGCCGACATAGTCAAAGCCCTAGAGAGAAAAACTTGTGATCGCTCTACCTTAGACAAAAGCACACCACTGCTCCGCGGCCAGATATGCGAACAAGAACAGCCGAACTTCGATCAATATGATCGAATTCGGAAAAAAAGCCTAGAGGCGGCTGCCCTAGGAAATCCGTAATACTTCGTAATTTTTAAATAGGTCTTATGCAACTTTTATTGAAAGATAAAGCAAAAGTAAACAAATATTGAAGCTAAACTAAATACGGAGTAATTCTGATAAACTAATCAACTATATTTGCTAGAATTAGCTACGGAATATAACCTAAAGTCAAACCCTAAGCATAGGCACGCAGCTTCAAGACATAGCAACAACTATGGGGCTTTTCACGTGGTGAATCCCATCAAACCATTTCAACTCACCAAAAACGTGACCTTCAACTTTCTTCTTGGCCTTCAAAGTTACTTTGAACTTCAACTCTTCCCCTCTTTCCTTGAAATGGAGGGTCTGAGGCTCCACAGATACAGAAACTCCATCTGGTTCAAGTGTCAGGGCAGTGTAGGTTCCTGGTTTACCGACATTCTTGACAGTTCTACTGACGGTGACGGAGCCCGAGAGGTTGGGAATGGTGATGGCGGGGTAGTTGACATTCAAGAGGTCAAGATTGCTGGGACATGTATAATGCTTTGCGCCTGAGAATTTGTTCATGGTGGTATGGTTGTAGCCGCTCGCACAGAGGAAATTTAGATAGTCCGCCTCGGTCAGGTCGTAGACCAGGCCGGGGTTCATGGCACGGTTTGGTCGGACGTGACCGGCGCCGTAGGCAAACGGCGTTGCTTCTGTGTAGTCAGCATCCTTTACATGATTGCCCGTGTTGTCTCTCACTCTGGCTATACATAATATTCCAAGAAAAAAGTATTATCCAAACGAATGATAGTAATTTGTGAGGAAAATGATCTTTATAAAAAGGAAGAATTTGACTTTGCACCCCACTTTTTGGATGATATTGGACTTTGCACCCCATTTTGAAAAAACTTTGATTTTGCACCCCATTCCACTTAAAATTCCTTTGACTTTGCACCCCATTTAGAAATGTTTCTTCACAAAATGGTATGCCTTGGGGTGCAAAGTCAAAGTTTTTTTGAAAATGGGGTGCAAAGTCCAATATCATCCAAAAAGTGGGGTGCAAAGTCAAAAATACTTATGTGAAATACTTTTTTTGAAAATGACTTGCAACGTTGAATGAACATAGAATTATTTTTTTCCCTGTACGTCAATAATTGATATATTTGTAACTCCGTATTAACTAAATCTTTATACTTAGAAACTAGATTAATAGAGAGTGTACTTACTTAACTTAGATGAAAAAAGTGTTTCAAGATTAGAAACAAAACACTTGTGGTGATCAAGAAAACTACTTTTTCATAACTCCATATCACTTTAAGACTAGAAATAAGTTATAGTAGTAACCAATTGACTTTTCCACTACTAAAACTCTTGCAATAGTCTAATTTGATTAGTGAGTATATTTTATACTTTTATTTAGTGCAACCAATGACTAAATAAAAAGCCATACTATGTTCTGATCTAGAATTAAATGGAAATTCAAAGATAGCTAGCTAGAATGTAACTGTACTCCATATATATTCATATATATACCTGTGGTGACAATGGCAGACCTAATGGCAGCTGGAGTCCAATCAGGATGGACGCTCCGTAGAAGGCCAACAATACCACTAATGTGAGGGCAAGCCATAGATGTCCCAGAATCAACATTGTAAGGAATCCTACGGGTATCGTAGACTTGACCTGTTGGGCTTGCCCCTTCAGAATATGCCGCTATAATATTCACTCCTGGGGCTATGACATCAGGCTTAAAAGAAAGAAAGAAAGAAGATTTAATACAATAAATTAGAGAAGATACCTGGCCTAATTTTATTATTTTATTCTTCTTTTTTGGAAAAAGTGTTTGATTTTATTCTTGTAGTAGAACCAAGTCTCATTGTAGGTAAAGACATACTAGTCTTTCTTAAAAGTTTGTACATGTTTTTATATGTTTTATATGGTCTAGTATAAACTGGTCTCGTAATATGTATGCCGTCATGCGTATTTTACTATTATCTAAGTTTAGTCTATTCAAGTATGTTAAAGTTTGTCTAGTCTAATTTGGTGTGTTTAAATATTTGCCTAGTCCGATTTGATCTATTTAAGCCTTTGTCTAGTCTTAGATTCAAACCAATACACTATAAACATTTTCAGTCCTGTTTTGTGTAATTTCTTAAAAATTATTATACATGTGCGACTATGTTCCCAATCTAAACTACCACATGTTTTTGACAAAAAATTAAAACAAGAAAAATAATGAGTGCATTTATTGTAACAACAATTAACAACAAGTAACCTTAAGAATCTGTGGAGTGATGCTATTTGGACCCCTTGATGAGAATGCTGCCATCACAGGCGCTGGTTTGGTTTGCAAGAATGCCTTTGAGGGTGTTATATACCCTTGCGGATCTCTACAACCATAGTTAAAATATAACTTTGTCACTCTTTCACTAGACTATTTCAAAGAGCTTTGAAATTGTATATATAGTAACAAGCTACAGATAGAGTAAGTAAAATAGTAAGAGCTATAATAACGCATGAACAGATAGGGCAATTAATATATAAAAGAAGGTATACATGTGACTGTTGTCTTTCGAAAATTTTCAATTCTAAACAAAAATAAATTAGAAAAGTACAATATACTCCCATAAAAAGAAAGTAAAAAGGCTCTGGAGCATGTTGAATGGAGTTATTATCATGAAGTAATATCACTCTGCTCTGGAGAATGGACCGTGGTGGTTTGAGCAGATCTTAATGTTCGTTCATGCAACCACTTCAAGTAGATGACCTGCTTCTTAAAGTCTCATCGCTACACATAGACTTTTGGGTCCAAATACATAATGAGAAAATTACCTCTATGGCTCTATGAGACTGCTAAAAGCTTGTATGTTTTGTGATATATGACTCATATCTATATTTTCCTATAAATGATGATGTATGTCATGCATTACATCATCCAGTCTTTAGAGTTTTTTGTTTTAGCTTTGCCCTCCTCACTAAGACTGGTAAGGAATGACCATAACATACGTGTTCCAGCTCTGCCTCCTCTCTAGTTAGTAATATGCTCATAAATAAACTAGTCCACTTATATTATGGGATTTTATTTTTCCCAAAACCTATTTTTTTCTATTTGGTTTATGTCTTTATGACATCAAAGGTGGCACAAGGAAAATGAGGGTTTGGGAACTTTCTTGGCAGTTTTATCTATATGGATGACTGCCAATTAGGTGGAACAAGGAAGGGTTTTTGTGCATTAGGGTAATTAACGATGGATGGACCGACGGATGCATGTATCAAACAAGGGAATTAAACTATGTTTAACTAGTAAGGTGATGGAAAGTATAATAAATGCAATTAAAGAGAATACTTGGAATTGGCGAGATAGTGAAGAAGCTTAAGGCCATCCTCATAAGTGATGTGAGTGGCGGGTAGCATGTGAGCATCTGCGATGATCTCATTCGCGCTTGCCTCGTCATTGCACAGTATCATTCCCACAGCCCCTGCATTGGCCGCAACCTCTCCTTTATCCACTCGTGTGTTAACCCCTCGTGTACAAACTAATATTTTCCCCTTCACCTTTTCTGGATCAATACTACCTGTCATGCATAGTGTCCTGCACACATTCATCAACTTCATTCATTCAATCATTCATTTAGGTATTAACATACACAGCATAAACTTATTTTTTTAGAAAAATGATACATATATATTAGGATTCTTGTGGTTCAATTCAGACACTACTGGGGAGGACCATATAAGGATGTTGGTAATTAACGAGAACAGATGCTATAATAGAATAGAAAGCACAGCCAAAAAAAACTTCTTACGCATTCTGGCCAGTTATATTGGAAGCTCTTGCATCTGCGGAATTGACAATTGGATAGAATTTCTGAGGCATTGCTGCTGCAACGCTTGTTCCCTAACATGATTGAGGGGAGTATTATATTTTTGGTAAAATAGGATTTATCTGCCTTTAATTGTATAAATTTTTCGTTTTTAAAACAACTAAATATAAGACATAATGAAGAAACCAAACATAATTCAAATTTGTGCACTTGTAAGCAATTTCGTTTGCTGGGCGCTGGGACTCCACAAATTTTAGATAACATTTGAATGTAATTTCATTTCATTGTATTGAGACAATGGAATTACCTTTATGACCAAGCCGTTTTTCAGATTTACATTTGCTCGGAACTCTCGATCAATGGTGCTTGCACCGACGGAGATAATCCACGGCGCAACATTGGACACCGTCTTTGCAGTGGGTCCGCTATTACCGGCGGAGCAAACGACGACCACACCCCTCCTCACGGCGTGGTAAGTAGAAATCGCAATGCCGTCTGAAAAGTAGTCCGACGGATCCCCGCCGAGTGACATCGAAATGACGTCGACGCCGTCGTGGATGGCGGCATCCATGGCCTTCATGATATCGGCATCGGTACACGCGCCTTCACCGGTATTAGGCCAACATACTTTGTAAGCGGCCACCCTGGCACGGGGAGATCCGCCTTTGGCAGTGCCGTTTCCGGCGCCGAATACGTTTGCTCCGGGTACAAAGTTGCCGCCGGCGGTGGATAGTGTGTGGGTGCCATGGCCCTCGTAGTCTCTAGGAGTGTTCTGGTCGTGGCTCACATTACCTCCGCTTGCAAGAAAGCCTTTGTTGAAGTATTTTGCTCCTATCAGCTTCCTACAAATTCAATTAATTATTATGAATCCAAAACTAAACTAAATTTATTAATTTAATTTGGCTATTTTAACTTTTAAGAGATATCAAGTCAAAATGTAACAAATGTGTTATTTTATTTTAGTATTAAAAACAGAGTATTGACAATAGAAAACCAAGAAGTAAAAAGTGAAATAATTTTTATGTGGATAATTAGGATCATCTTTGTATTGCTAAGAAGCCTAAGATGCTAAGACGATTAAGTTAACGTAGTTAACACTTCGTAATTTGGAAGTTCCTTTGTCCTACAAAAGTTGAGAATTATGTGAAATATAAGTAAATAAAAAAAATTGTCACACACATTCGTGTAAAGGAAAATCAAAATATTTTTGAACTGGTTTCAATCCCCCATTAAGAAACTACATCAGAACAAATCAAATTTATATAGATTAGACTAGATCAAGACCATATACAAATTAGTGCTAAGATACATATAGAGCAGACACTTACTAAATCATACATGTTCAGACCGACTTTAATATAGCAAACACGATTAAATAGATTAGATCAAACTTAAACTGGTCAGATCAAACAAGATTAGACTAGAAAATTTCAATCCAATTAAAATCGTCATTTAAAGGAAAATGACCATCATTTGAGGCGGTTAAATAGCGAAACTTAAGAAGTACTTACATGAATAAGAGAGTTTTTAGAGTAAAAAGGAATATTTAGTTTGTCTTTGGCGGTAGATGCATGTTAGAGCATCTTCAATGCTATAATGTGCACAGTCCACGCATGTGGCATGAGAGATAGTCACATAAATATTGGTAAATAAATTATATTTCTCCTTACTTGAATGATTTTATACATTTTTGGGAAATTTTTCTGCACAATGTCTAGAAGACTGTCTAGATGTAGACATTGTTGTTGAAATTGTTAAGAAAAACTTATCAAAATTAAATAAATTCATTAAAAATAAGGAAAATGATAATTTATTTACTAAAATTTATGTGTCTATCTCTCATATCACATATGTATCGTGCACATTGTAGCTATTGAGATGCTCTTATTATGTAGGAAGATGTCTGTATTAATCGATTCTTTCAAGAAAAGTGACACAAAACTATATAGGGTAAATGATCAAACTGATTAATGACCTGATTTTACTGCCTACTGGTGACTTTGTAAATGATCAAGCTGATCGATTAATGACCTGATTTTACTAGTGACTTTAAAATATACGTGAGCCGTTGGTATTTCTAAAATAATTTAGTGTCCATTAATATTGAATTATGAATGTAATTATACTATTTAATCCGAAGTAATTCAATATATATCATTATTATTCAAATTGAGGTCTTTTATACTACGTATAAAATACTCCGTATGAGTTTTAATTTTGCAATAGTAATAACAGGAGAGCATTAATACCTATTGCAACGAACGCCGGTAGGACTAGTTTCATTTTGGCAAGACCCTCTCCATCTTTTGGGAACAGGACCGTAACCAACGTCACTAAAGCTCTTTGACTCCGGCCAAACACCTTCACATGGAGTATATATGTCCAAATCAATTCATTATCATATGTACTATTTGGCACTAAAATGATGGATTAAAGCTACATTATTTGCAATTGAGCCAAAAACTCATTATTTTTTGACTTGAGAATATGATGGAATAAAGCAAAATGACTTACTAAACTGTATGCGCTTCTTTGTTATGGAGCAGTCAGTCTATGCAGTTTTTTAAAGTGATTTTTACTCTGGGTCATTCAGAGGCAGCCTCTATGTACTTTAGTACAAAGGTAAGGCTGCGTACATCTGACCCCACTTACCCCACCGTAGGTGAGAGCCTTTGCGGTATTGGGGTAATGATGATGATGATGATGTACTATTTGGTAGTACAATTCTATTTTCATAGAAAGAAGGAAGTTTTATCAAGGATAAGGATGAACGGGTACAAGTGAAAAAAGAAAAGCAACAATGAGAAGAAATGCTCATCCCCAAGTACATTCTTGCACAACCCACTATGCCCTTACTCCCTTTGTCAATAATGATAACATCAGTGCTTTTCGCGAGTTTGAGATCGTGTTCTCATTCAGTGTGAATGTGGATGTACAAAATATCGGTATATAAGAGTAAATTGATGTTGTAGAACTTATTTTAAAAAATCAACGATTTTGGCACAACCTTGGCACGGCTCTGGCGCAGATATGTCAAGTCCGTGCCATATTTTGTGTTAATTGCGTTTTTTCACTAGTTGTTTGGCACGGTGCTAAACAAAAAATATGTTGTGATCCGTGTCAAATTCATCAATATGTGTCAAGTGCATGTTAATATCATTGTTTTCTTATAACTAGTGAGTGTCTCTTAATGTGAGATTAGTTACCGGTATCAAGATTTGCAATAATAACGTCGTGGCCAAAGTGCGCCTTCTTCCAAAGAGAAGCTGGATAAATGGCGCCGTTCTTCTCCAAATTCATAAATTCCCATGAACGAGTAGTATGGAGCTTTCTGCTTTTATCTAAGAAAAGAGAAACCACATCCGGATGCTCTACAAAACCATACCCGTAAAGAAAAAATCAACTAAATTAGAGTATGTATTAATATTTTTCCGTAAATAAAAACACCTTATCAACAAATCAACAAATAACAATACATTTTGAAAGAGGTCAAATAATACCATTTTAAACTTGAGAAAACTACTATTTTAATTAAGGAACATTCTATATATAACGGTGTCATCATTATTAGTCGGGTCCCCTTATTAGTCTCTAGCTTAACTTTGTAGTAAATGTTATATAGTTGGTAAGTTTAATTTGGTTATGGTAAAGACTTGGCGTAGCCTAACAGTCTCACCGTGAATAAGGTTATTGTCCATTAATTTCGCGGTTAACATAACTTGCTTTCAATGTCTTATAAATAAATCAAATAAGGTGACAAAGGTACGGTACCTTATGAGTACCATAGAATCTATCATCAAATATATGTGTAGTCAATTTACAATTTAATAAATATTACGTCTATATATCTATAGTTCATAATTAATTATGTACTTCAAATTATTAATACTAATTTAAATAATATCATGAATACTTAACATAACTAGTAATCGAACAAAATAAATTGAACTCGGAGTCTCCAATAGACACTGAAGAAGTCTAACTAATAGTCAATTCTTAAAAATACTTCTTATGAACTTCAAACATCGATAGATGCACTACTAGTACTTTCAAGTTTATAGAAGTCATAAATAGTATCAAAACATAACACATACGGAGTACTATCGTATTATTAAGTAGGATCACTATTATTTTTTCCAAAATAAAAGAATTTTGTTCTTAAGAAATACGAGTAACTTTTAACCGATTTTATTATTTAAATATGTGATATTTTGATAATAAAATATACATAGTCCTATTTAAATACTATGGATTACTAGGTATGATACAATGTTTTACTTCGGCAATTTCACTAGTTAAAGCTAGTGTAAAACGCAAGAAAACTAAAATGAATAATATATAAGTGAAGATGTATTTAATGTGTATAAAAAAAAGTCTATACGTGAGATCTTGGCAGCTTCGTGTTCTTCAAGGAGAGCTGCGAAACCGTTGATGTGTCTTTTGTAAGAGTAGATTATGGCATCCTTAGCCTTCTCAACACTGCAATCATACATGCATATATGGTTAATATATGTAAATTTGGAATGTATATATGATATATCAATGTACAAAACTGTTATAATTAATTATCAAATATATTTAAGGTTAATGCTATGACACCCATAAAAAAATTAGGGTATCGTATCTAGCTATCGTATACGAAGTATATGCATTATTTGATTGATCTAAATCAATATTTTATCATTTATTTATATTTCAATCATTCAGTTGCAATATTTTAAAATACAACCTTCCCAAGAATGATCCAAGAAATTGATGGTGTGAGTCCGTCACGCGACGAAGATCTTCCGAGGTTACCTCCGGGCCATGAGAATGTCCTCCAAAGTATACTATATAGGACTGCAAACATGGCACAAAGACAACAACTCCTTTAATTTATAACATTCAACAGGCAAATTAATGAGGATGATTATCCTATATATCAATTTCAATATTCGTATGATTAAATATGTTTGAGTAAAAAAGCTTAAGATAAAAGAACCTTTTTTGTGGCAAAAACTGGTGATTGAAACAGGCACAAAGCAACAAACGAAAGTAGAAGAAGAGTTGATAAAGGATTGGAGCTGAACATGGTTCCGTCAAAGGAATGTCGAACAGATCTATCAATAAACTAAGATTACTTATAGTGGAGGAACATATCATATAGTGCCGTAGAAGAGGGGCGTATCGATCATATATATATATCAGTGCTTAACCTAATCCTAATGCTTAAGAAGTTGCATACTAATAGGATTCAATCATTCAAAGATTAATATTACATTACATACGTAGTACTTTATATATACCGTCAGTATAGTATACATGTCAAGCTAGATTTCAAGTTTCAACCCTAGCTTGTACATAGTACTAAATAACAAAACAACAAAATGGCTATGAGCTCTAAATACAACCATAGAAGTTAGAACTATTTTATTCTCAAAATAGGAGTCATATATGCCCGGGCCATGTTCCTATTCTACCTCTTTCTATAATTTATAATAGATTTATTTTATTAATAAGAAAATCATAATTTTGTTCATAATGAAATACAAAAATTAGTAAAAATATTTATAAATTAATAATAAAAACTGGGAAAAAAAGTTAGGAAAAAAAAGTTATTACTCTCTCCGTCCCACTATAATTGTCTCGTTTTTCTTTTTCGTTTGTTATACTAAATTTGTCTCATACCATATTTGATAATATTGTGTGATTCTAATTCATTCTTATTTCATTCTCACTTTATCTATTCACTATCAATCAGATAACCCTACTTTTCTTACAAACTGCACCACCATCATTTTTCCCAATAATAGGGGGACGAAAGTAGTTTTTTTAGCAAAAAAAAAAAAACATTTTATTAATGGAAAAGGAAGGGTAAAAAAGTACAATCGCTAATGAGGGAAGAGAATTTAAAGCTATTTAGAAAAAAACGAAGGCCATCCTCCAAAATAAAATTGTAAAAGTGTGAATCTCAATCCCTTGTCAATAAATTTCAACTTTGCTCACCCATGATAATTGCACCCCTGCACACCATTTCTTGTCTCAGCACCCAATCAATTTGACCCCCAAAAAATCCCAACGCGTGCGTAAAAGGCATCACAAATTCTTTAGCATCCCTGATTTTTAGCCTGAAGGCGAGCACTTCGTCAATCTGAGCTCAATTTGAGTTGTTGTTTTGTAATTAGGATCACTTAATCGAGCAAGCAACTCTTGATCTGAATCATAACCCGAAGAGCCATCAGAAGCATCGTTTGAATCAGATTGAGAAACACCTTTGATTGCTCTATGTTCGATTTGCATAGGGAATGAAACCTGAATAGGTGTAGCATGCATGACTTCCCCGACAATAATCACATCCTCCTCCGCTTCCCTAGGCATATCCTTAGGACATTTCTCCCTCAAAGTAACAATCTCTCTATTAAAGCATTCGGTCTCAAGGGGGACTACATGACTAATAGAAGAAGATAAATAGCCATTCAAGAATAAATCCTCCTCAAAGAGCATGGAGGATATAGTACCCACAGTCACACAATCCTCAAATTTTGTGTTTGAGGATACCACCCCTTGATCACCCAAATCATTCTCCAACTCCCCCTTCTTCATCTCTTTTAATAGTTCAATCTAACTTAATAAAGTAGAGCTAATAAATAGACAAAAACCCAACTTATCCCTACCTCCCGGAATAACAATGGAGTTCCTACCTCCATTATCAAATACCACCAAACGAAAAAATCCCCCTGAAAAGTTTTGCAAACCGGATCACACCCGAAGACAAAGGAACATGCAGGGAAGATTTTGGCCATGTTCGATTGTCCATACCCGATCGGGTAGCAGACACACCCGGTCGGGTATGGATGACATTTGCAGCTTCCGGGAGGCTTCTGAGTGTACCCAATCTGGAGCCCTATATACCCGATCGGGTACACACCCCTGCATGCTCCATTTCCTCTATAAATACACCTCTTTCCTTCCCACAAAAATCACCAATTCCTATATACTTCTAAGCTCAGTTTAGATAAGTTCTTTCTTTATATTTTCATCATGTTTAGTCTCTAAATGAGGAGCTAAACTCTTTCATATTGGTTTTGCTACTTTGAAGCCTAATGAATTGTAAGTTGTGAGTTATTTTCTTAATCTTCTTCCTTGAATATTACTTGAATCTGTCTCTATATTAATGTTGGGGAGTGTTGCTAAGATGACAATTAGTTAACATCTCGACATTAATTAGTTATAGTAGAATCTATTTTATTTAATCTTCTTCCTTGAGTATTAATTAATTCCTATTCCTATTTCATATTAATATTTTGAGCATTGTTTAAAGGGCCAACTAGCTTTGTTTCATGTATTAATTATCACTAGAATCAATCGACGAATACGCTTGTTAATCGTTCGGTCTTTTCACGGTAGTAAACTTGGATTATTAATGCACGCGTCTCATGGTTAAAAATCTAAGGGGAATTAACTATATTGATTAAACCGATAAACTGCTTGTGTTGAGGTTATCAATCTCAATCGCTTTCATCTTAATTTTATTGCTACTATCGGTTTAATATATGGCGCGTGTTCTATATTGACTCGGTAGTAAGTTTTATTAATGAACGCGTCTCGTTATTAATAACTATGCTCGATGAATGAGATATACTCATCGATTGAGTATTCGAGAGGAAGATAGTTAAAGATATAACAAGGATTGACGAACATTTCATTAAGTAGATAAAAGCAAAATCAAATCCTCATCTCTGTTAATTAAACTCATATAAGTCGTTCATCTTCGTATTTAATTAATTAAATCAAATCAAACTTTAAAACCCCCTTGTTACTAGTAACATAAAAAGAGAAGTATTCATTTCCCTGTGGATACGAACCTTACTTCGTTATACTACGTATAATCGTTGTATTGATATTTATTTTGACGCACATCACGACAAAGTGCACGTCAAATTTGGCGATGTTGCCGGGGAAAGGCAATAATTTTTCTTTTTTTTTAATTCAAGAAAAATAAAAAAAAACAAATAAATAAACAAAATATAAAAATGTATATATCAAATAAGAAGTGTAAAGATCAAAGTATCAAAGTACTAATTTCTAAAAAATCATCAAGGACTAAATCATCTCTACGGCCTTCATTGCCCTGATCATCATCATCATGAGTAGGAGTGGGTGGTGTTTGGCCATAGTCATCTTCAACATCTTCATCATCATTTGGAAAACTTTCTTCTTCGTTGTTCATGTCTTCATCAATCAACCTTAATGAAGAATTTGAACCACGACGTCGAGAATAAACCGATTCTACATGAGAGCTACTAGAGCTACTAGTTCTAGGAAGATTATGACCCTGAAGATTGCTTGATGCACCCCTAGCTTCATCAACTTGACTCCAAACAAGATCATCACCGGGATGAACAACGTCATTGCTGACTCATTCATTGTTCCATTGGAAATCTTCATATATTAAAGGGTTGAAGTTTGTTCCTTCTTCACACCGCTTCTGAAATCTGGTCGCTATCTTCTGATTATATTGAATAAAAACCAAGTCATTCAACCTCTTATGCTCCAACCTGTTTCTTCTTTTTGTATGAATCTAAAATAAAGATAAAACACATATTTGATAAGTGTTTTGATTTAATTACTTAAAATCTTGTGTAATTTAAAAATTGTAGTTAGTATTCAAAATCGTAAGTCTATTACTTACAAACTCAAAAGTGCTCCAATTACGCTCATAGCCAGAAGAGGTACAACAGAGACCAACATTGTGTTTTGCGAACGATTGCAGCTCAACAGCGAGTCCACCAAAAGCATCCCACCAATCAACTATAAATTAATCACAAATATAATATTAATTAATTTTTAATATATTTAAAGTTTAAACTAATTTTTAAATATAATAAAAAGTATCACTTACAAGGACTCTTAGATTTTTGTTGCTTAATCGTGAGCTGCTTTGCAAAACTTCCTCTCAATTTGTCATAATCTGTCGCTTGATTACTTATCTTGGCCTGCAATGTTTCATCAGTGATCATCTTTTCAAGCACATTGTTAAACATTGATCGTTTCCTTGATGCTGATGTGGGATCAGTTTGTTTGAGATCAAAATATTTAGACGAATTTAAAAACAAAGCTGCCCCATATAAGTTGACCTCCATCTGGACTTCCCATCGTGTCTCAATGATCCCAACTAGGCTTCTCAAAACTCTAGCCTTATTTTCAAATGACTCGCTGATCTTTTTCTTGGCACAATCCATGGCTAGTGAAAGCTCTGGATGGCCGGTTGCTCATCAGCTTCAACTATCCTCAAGACAACTAAAAGCGGTTGTGAAGCTCGTATGAAGTCTTCCAGTGCACTCCAGAATCTAGTAGACAACACAATCTCACTAACCCTTTTTCCTGCTTCTATGGTAGCCAATTTAGATCTACCTCAATCGAGACCGCTAAATTGATTTCTCAATGCTTCTCTGTGTTTCTATAGAGATTGCAAAGTGAGAAACGCTGTTGCAAATCTAGTAACTCCAGGTCTTACAAGATCCTTCCCACCCGTCTTTTGTCTCACTGAATGGATGATTCTCGTGTGCCGATAAATGAAAGTAGTCACACGTCTTGCCTTTTCAATGTGGGGCTTGAAATCGGCTAATTTACCGATATTCTCCAACATCAAATCCAAACAATGTGCAGCGCAAGGAGTCCAATAAAGCGTGTGCATCTTGAGCTCTAGAAGTTTTCCCGCAGCCTTATAGTTAGAGCCGTTGTCTGTCACCACTTACACTACCATGTCTTTTCCAACTTCTTCGATTTTTTTCTCAAGCAAATCTGCCAGCAATGTTGCATCTTGAGATTCACCTGATGCATCAACCGAGTCTAGGAAAAAAGTACCCTCTGGACTATTGACAAGGAAATTAATCAAGTGTCGATTCCTTCAGTCAGACCGTCCATTAGACATGAGTGTGCACCCATATTCCTTCCAAGCAAGTTCATGTTTTTCTCTGAGCTTCTCTGTATTTTTTTTGCCTTTTCAAAAAGTGGTACACGCAACTCATGATAGCTAGGAGGTTTAAGTCCTGGTCCAAACTGCCCAATCGACTCCACCATGATCTCATAACTACTACTGGAGTTTGCTGCATTAAAAGGAATATTGTTTTCATAAAAAAATTAGAAACATGCATGAAAACCCTCTCTTTCTCCTCCTTGCTTTTTGTGCATTGTTCTAGTGTAGTTTGGGCGGGGCCTTTCATATGTCTTTCATCAACAACCTCCTCGGGAGTTTTGCGAATGATGGAGGCAATTGACTTGGTTTGTTTGAGCATTTTGGGTGGAACATTAAAGAATTGTGAAGCAGCATTTTTTCTCTTGGTTGCTGTCCCATAACTCGGTTGAGAAGTTGAAGTATCTATTTGAGTCAAAGATACTTC